TGGGCTGATCAGTTGATTGGTGCCATTGTTATGGATGTTAATCTGGCTGATTGCTGGGCTGATCAGTTGATTGGTGAGCATTATCATTGAGGTTAGTCTGGGTGATTTCTGCGCTGATCTGTTGATTGGTGTCATTGTCATTGATGTTAATCTGGTTGATTGATGGACTGATCAATTGATTGTTGTTATTGTTAACAGGCATTGTAACGGCGAGATGTCTCGTGGTGGGGGTGCTCGGAGAAGGAGAGCCATCTCCTTCTCCGAGCTGTTCAATCTGGAGGTAAGGGCTGCTTTTTTCTGTTGTTCTTTTTGTTTTTCCTTGTTTTTTTCTTCTTCTTCTAAATTTCTCATGTTCAAAGCCCTGCACAGCAAGCCTTTGGGACATGTCTTCATTTTGGGACACTTGTCACAATGCGAACGACGCATCCGTTCGGTTTGGAACGATGCGTTTCAGAAAGCGCCATCCGTTTGGTTTGGAACGATACAGAGAAGATTAGAGTGGCCTCTTCTCAAGGACGGATGGCGCTTGTCACGAATCGAGACAACTTGAACAACCTAGAGAAGATTTCTGTGGCCTCACCCACGTTCATGGAGGGGATTCCCACGTTGAAAAATATCTTTTCTTTTTTCTTTTCTCCCTTTTGTTAATTTGTCTTTTAACAAGGAAGGGGACAACCATTGTCACAATTATTGTGTGTGTAATACAGTATATATCATAACAGCGTCCGAACCCGTGGCGTATCAAGTATAAGAGCAACAGACTTGCGCAATAGCTGCCCGGGGACCTCCGTACGTTGGGTGTGTATCATAACAGCATAACAGCGTCCGAAGTCGAGGCACATCGCCGCATATGCTGTGGTTAGCTGTCTTTTCTGGCCAACGGATTCTTTGTGGAGTCGGCTAAACTGTACGGAAACAGTCCGTCAGAGGCCCCGGTCTCTTGTCCTTTTCTCCCTTTCTGCCTACGGTTGATTGGGGAGTTGTCTATGGTGATAACCGGGCAGCTCTCTCCCCCTTCACTCTGCCTCTTTCTCACAGCGTACACCTGGGCCGTTATGGCACACGGGGAGGGGGGCAGCTCGTGCTGGACTTCATCAATGTGGCGAGCCTTGTACGTGAGAGGCACAGTGTAGGGGGAGTTGAAAGAATGAGAAATTGAATGGTTTTAATGTGCCCTTGTTTTTTGTTTTTTTTATCCTTTCTTTAGCAAAGTGCGCTCTTTTAGTACATAGTTATGTGACATATATATGTATAACTACGGCTACAGATGGCTCGTGTACCTTTTTAGGTATGCATCTACGAGTACGTTCTGATGGTTCGCTTCGCATGAGCGTGTTTGATAAAGCGGCTGCTTGGGATTTCCCTGTTATTCGCTATCCAAGTGCTACCTCCAACATCCCTTCCCATCAACCGGCAGGTGTGTTCACTGGGCAATTGACCAGATTTGAACGCATCTGCAATAATTG